TATTTAGTGAATAAACTAAGAATTTTGTTTAAAAAGAAGGAGAGACATCTAGCAATCTCTACCATAGCTTGGCTTTGAAGGCCTTCTTCAATAAAGTGCCAATCCAGCTTTCCAGACTTCCTTCACCTACTAACTGTTCTGACCACTCTGCCCCCGTCAAATTCCTTTGCTTGCTGTCCCTGAAACACACCTAGCACTTTGTCACCATCTCCATTTACTCAGCCCTCTTGGAATGTGTTTTTGCTTCATAGCCAAGCCACACCTTTGTTTCCTTGAGACTTTACCCTGACTGCTTGCATCTGAGTTGATTTCTTCTGAAACTGAATATTCAGTGGAATTGTATTTGACTCTTTCAGATATTCACACCCTTCTGCTTCAGATTGCCCTTCTTTTGATGACTTGAGCAGCATTAATCTTTCATGGTTAATTTTTTACACAGTTAGGTCTTGCTTCTCCCCGCCACTCCCTGAGGACAGGAGACCCTTATTCAATGAACACTGTGCTCCACGTTGGGGATTTAGTAGTAAGAAAGATTTAGGGCCTGTCCTCAGTGTCCTAATATTTCCCATGGAGCCCGGATTTAAAACTCAGACCCATTAAGTGTTTCATAACTCTCTATTGCTTTGTGTGTAATAAAAGCTAATATTTATTTAAATGATGGTTACTTATATTAATAATAATATTTATTGAGTAATTTTGGTGTGGTAGGTCCTATGCTAACTTTTCACATATATCACTTCATTTCCTTCTAATGCAGCTGTCACTGCAGAATGGAAGAGACCAAAACCATGTAGCTTCCATGAAATACAGAGGTGAATGAATTGCTTTTATTGCATCCAAAGTAGGATTTGACAATCAAAAAGGACAGAGGACAGGGGTGAGCAGCTGAGACTTGAATGGTCAGTGGTAGGTTAGCAGTGCTGAGCCCAGGGCCACTCAGTGGGGAAAAGGCATCCCAGTCTAAGTAAGCTTCCTGCTGGGATAGTGGCAGATAAAGTCCAGATGGTGAGTGGCTATTTACAGGATGCAGGCACTAGCAATTTTGCAAATAAAAATGAGGCACAGAGAAGTAAAGTTACTTGTTCAAAGTCACATAGCTGAAAGTGGGTTGGAGCCAGGATGTAATCCACAAAGCTTGATGCCTGAGGCCAGGCTCTTGGTCCTGTGTTAAGATGGTGACTGGAAAGTAAGGGTAAGTCTGGTGATTCGAAGATTTAGTGACATCCCGTAAGTAGCCACCCACAATCTGGGCTTTATCTGCCACCCTGTCCCAGCAGGAAGCTTGCCTAGACTGGGATGCCTTTTCCCTACTGAGTGCCTCTGGGCTGGGCACTGCCAACCTACCACTGCCCATTTGAGTCTCAGATGCTAACCCCGTCCCCTGTCCTCCGTTTTGATTGTCAAATCCTACTTTGGATGCAATAAAAGCAATTCATCCACCTCTGTATTTCCTGGAAGCTGCATGGCTCTGGTCTCCTCCATTCTGCAGGGACAGCATGGAGTAAGCAGAGGCTGCCGTCTGCAGGCCCCCAGCTGCATCAGACCCACTGATTGTCCTGTGCAGCCCAGCATCTCATGTTTTTTAAATTCATCATCAGCATTCACAACTTAGAAGATGTCACACAAAATCTGGACGGGGGGCTTCTTTTGAAAAACTGGAAGATTTTGGCAACACTGTGTCTATATGCCCACAGGTTCAGGCTGTCTAGTTCAGATGGAGCACTTTCTGTCTAAATTGGCATAGCATCCCCCTTCCTATTACCCAGACACCTTTATCCACATTAATTTTCCTTACCAGCCAGCAGCACATGGCACAGGTATGTGGCACTATATGTCAGACACTGAACTAAGGGCTTCACCTTTCATTGTCACAGTCACCTTTGGAAGAGGTACTGTTATTAACCCCATTCTACAGATGAGAACACGAAGGTCCATACTAAAAGTAGTGTCAGCGCTGGACCTCTTAGCAAGGCATTCTAGCCCTGCAGTCTTAGCTTTTAAACACCACCTGCTGTCTCTCACTCTAGGGATTGAGATTTCTGTCCCTGCTCCAAAGGGGGAAGTGGGAGAGGGGGGAGCAGGGAGGGAACCTGGTCCCTGTGCAGCCTAAAGTCGACACATGGAAAATCCAAACCCACAGAGCTCATTTCCTATACAAATAACAAGCCATCAGGGAAAGGCTGCTTTTCCTCATTGCTCTGAACAAAACTAACCTTGCCCCAAAGGAAATCAGGGCGTAGAAAGAAACCAGTGAGCACCTGCCAGGATCTTTGGGGCCACCTGAGAGCCTGCTGTGGTGGAGAGTTTTCCCGTATCTCCTTTTCCCTCCCTTCTTGGAACACGGAGAATTAATTAATTCTATTAAGCCTCCATCCAACTCTCACTTGAAACGTTAGCTCATGAACAAGTGTAATCCATCTCAATCCTGATTGTCTCCCAGGGAGGGAGGTGAGGATGAAATATAATGACTTCAGCCTTTGTGAAGGTGTCCACCGTGGTCGCCCAGCCTGCCTGAGCCCCGCCGTGCTGCGGATCCACAGGGAGATGAATGGAGCCTGAAGCACAGAGAGAAATTCATTTCCTTAGGTTAGCTGCCTGACAGGCTTGCAAAAGAGCCCTCTTCAAAGGCTTTGAGGCAGAGGCAGGGGAAGAACGGCTGGTTCAGATGGTTGATGTCCGTCTCAAGACCCACCCAGGAAGCATCTCTGAAGCTACTCAGTGGGCACTTCTGGCTGCCAGGCGCTGCAGATGCAAAAATGGACAAGTCTGTGGCATAGTTAGAGTGACCATAACTTCCCAGACTAGGGCACCATGGAGCATGAAGAACACTGGCTTAAACTGGGGCTCTCCAGAGCTGAGACATATGGTCACAGAAAGCCAAGCCATTAAGACCCCTCACAGGTCTGGATTTCTTAATTCTGAATCTGGCTGTGACCATGCGCAAGTTAACCTCTGAGCCTGTTTCTTGTCCAAAATGGGAGTGATCCCCAGGAATCTTCCCTCTCAAGAATGTCAAGAGAATTATATGAGCTAAGGTAGTCACTGGAACGTGCTGAGGACCCCTTGTCCACAAGACAGGTGCTTGAGGCCATGAAGTTGGATTCCAGGGAGGAAGCTAGCTTTCCGTTTCTGAGTGTCAGCTGGGCTTTGCGAAATGAGAGCTAGTGCCTAACAGCTCTGGAAAATCAAGAGAATTATAGACGCTGAGGGTGGGGAAGAAAAAGAGGAGAAATGAAGAGAGAGGTGGAAGAAGAGTGAAGTTTGGGGATGGTGGGGAGAGGAGGTACCTATTGGGAAAAATTTAAAGTCAGCGCTAGCTGGTAACACTGCTGGTCCAAGTCTGCATATTTATCTCTGCTTTCGGTCTTCAGTGGAGGAGCCATTGCTCACAAATGCCATACTGGAGGCAGATCTTTTGGGTTGGGGGTGTTCAGTCACTCAGTCATGTCCAGCTCTTTGCGACGTCAGGGACTGGAGCCCACCAGGCTCCTCTATCCATGACATTTCCCAGGCCAGAATACTGGAGTGGGTTGCATTTCTTTTTCCAGGGGATCTTCCAGACCCAAGCATCAAACCCTTGTCTCCTGTATTGGCAGGCAGATTCTTTACCACTAAGCCTCCTGGGATGATGCCACAGACTCAAGGTGGGCTGGTGGTGAGACTGAGACCTCTAGCGAAGGCTCATTCCACATGGATTTCATGAATACCTCATGGGGGTCCACAGGGAAGGCTTCGTAAATGTTAGTGCCCGCTCTCATTGCTACAATCATTATTAGCTGCCAGGTTCCGTATAGCGACACCAGCCTAGAAATACAAAGCTGAAAACCAGTGGGGCCGACAGGAGGGGGAAAGCCCCATCAGAACAAAGGAGAGTTTTGTTTAGTTTTGTTCACAACTCGCGGTTCCTAGAGAAGGCTAGGATTCAGCAGAGCCATTTAAATCCCAGACCAGCCTTGGGCAGCTCCAGGCCTGCACCAGGCCCACCGCAGTAGGACCAGCAAGACACAAGGGGCACTCCTCCCGGATCGGTTGTCTGCAGAATGAGAAGAATGTTAATTAATCCTGTTATCTGAGCTGCATGCTTTCTGGCTTAATTCCTCTGATAAAACCACACTGAATGGAGAACTCTCAGAATGCCAAAGCAGCCCTTCTAATGGGATTCTTGAGGTGCAGTGAGCCCTGGCGTGGGTGAGGGTAGGGGGTAAACTGTTTGACCCTAGGAACCTGGGGATCAGCACTGACTCTCTTCTCTGGGTATTCTGACTGAAGACCTTTACCATCCAGGCTTCTTGTCCCATTCAATACAGCCATATTTCAGAAAAGAATGGGAAAATAGAAATTCACTGGAAAAAAAACGTAATCTGTTTGACCTTTTATAGACATAAAACAGCCAATTTTATGTTTATTTCACAAAAATGGGCTTATCAGCAAAAATGGGTTTATTTAGGAATGGCAGAGAATTGCAATTTGGGACAAGCATGCTCGAGCAAAAACCCTAGGCACATTCTGAGAAGCAAAAGAGAAGACGCTTATTTCACAGAGGAAAAGGAGAAGCTGGGACAGCCTGATGTAAATAAAGAGTCCACTGGAGGAAACTGGGAGTGCAAAGCGTGGTGACTTTTCACTGGCTGAGCTGCCACAATCTCTCATTGGCTAGGCTGTTGCCAGGCAAGGAGAAAATCCTCCTTCCTCCTGCTGGGGTTCCAAAGTAGTAACCTTCCACTTGGAGATGAAAGGCAAGTCTCCTTCTGTTTGGGATCTGCAGAGAGAAAGAAGTAGGAAGGCAAGAGAGCTTCCTTCTGGCATCCTGATTCTATTTTAAATGAGATTTCCTCTTTCCAGTTTTATAGTTCAAAACCTGTAAGGAAGTACATGGAAGCAGTTCAAAGTTCAGAATATGGAACAACCTGGAATTTCTGCCTCAGACTTACTAATCACATAATCTGGTATGCTTACCTGTTTCAGGGCCTTTATTGCTTTATAGGTGTTATCTGTGTGATTTACTCTAAAACACTGCAGCATAGGTCCTGTGATATTTCTATATACTTATTTGAAGTGACAGGCTTCCCAGGTGGCTCAGTGGTAAAGAATCTGCTTACCAGTGCAGGAGACACAGGAGACACGGGTTCAGTCTCTGGAGTAGGAGATGGTGCCCCACTCCAGTGATCTTTTCTGGAAAACTCCATGGACAGAGGATCCTGGCAGGCTACAGTTCAGAGGGTGGTAGAGTGTCAGACATGACTGAGTGACAGAGGACGCACGCACATTTGCAGTGACACCCTGGGGCAGCAACCATTCTAATCAGGCATCTGCTTACCTCTGAGAGACACCAAAATGAGCAAACTAAGTATCAGGTATCAAAAATAGATTTTCATTGGTGAAATTAGTAGGATGCTGATAAGCATAATGGATGTTAGAAAGGAGCTCTCAACTTCTGTTATTGAGTGGTATTCAAGATTCATAAATTGGTAACAGTGTTTTATTATTAATATTCCTACCCTGGTGTGAAAAATATGTAAGACTTCAAGTCTTCACCCCTAAATGCATGTGTGTGCACTCAGTCATGTACGACTCTTATGATGCCCACTCCCCATGAACGGCAGCCCCCCAGGCTCCTCTGTCCATGGGATTCTCCAGGCAAGAATACTGGAGTGGGTTGCCATTTCCTCCTCCAGGGGATCTTCTTGACCCAGCAATCGAACCCGCATCTCCTAGTTCTCCTGCACTGGCAGGCCGATGGTTTACCGTTGCCACTGGAAAGGCCCCTTTACCCTAAGTGGCTGTCTATCTATTTGAAGATTTTCTTCATTGTCTGAGACTGACTATAAGGGTTTTACAGCCCTATCTCTGAAATACTGTTTCAACTCCCTTGGTGATCCTTTCAATGCAAGATGGTAGCTGGTCTGAGTACCTAAAAAGACAGCTATAAGGGACTTCAACTAAACATGCAGCACAATTTATAGGAACTGCATCATTCCTGCTCACTGATAGAAGTTTGCAAATGTTGATAGTGTAAGGAAGAGAAAAAAGAAGTCTTCCTCTATCCTTTTAGGTTTAGTACCTAGATCTGTGAATTAAACTGACCAAAAGATGAACAGGAAAAAAGTTATTTTGTATGCACTTGGAGGGCCTCACAAAGAGGTGAAAACTCCTCAAAGAGGCTAGACCTTTGAGCTTATATACTATTTTAATAAAGGGTTATATATTGTGGAGAAGTGGCCAGACAGGTAAGACAAAGGGAAAGCAGTTTTGGCTTCTAGTGGTGGTAAGTTTGCGGAAGGTAACTATATGAGAGAAACTAATCAAAGATAAGGATTGTTTAGTAAGGTTTGTTCTGCAAACTCAGGTCTCACAATAATTCTGATATGCAGATACTGTTATATACCCCACTTAATGTTGAAGAAACAAATCTGGAGAGAGTGAATCACTCCAAGGACACAGAGTCAGGATATAAATCTAGGCTATTTGATTCTAAAGTCCATGTTCCTTACACCATGCAGAAATGTTTTATGATTTTTTTCTTGATTTTACAATATCACACACTCATAGGAAAACTGGAAAACATATGAATGTATTAAATAGCCTAATTCCACTACTCAGAGAAAGCTGGATTAAGCTTTGATATATTACTTCCAGATTTCTTTTTTAATGCAAATTTAGTTGTGATTGTACATTGCTTATCATTCTGTGTCCTGTTTACTTGACATGTTATGAACATTTCCTCATATTATTAAAAATTTTCCATTAACATCATTTTAAGGTGAACATAATATTTCACGCTATGGCTGTGTTATACCATCTGTTATTAGACATTTAACCTTGTTCTATATTTTACTACCATCAGTAACAAGATGGCTATCCCTGAAGGTAATCTCTTGCTTACATTTCTATTTCTTCAGGGCAGATTCCTGGAAAGGAAATTTCTGGACCAAAGGGCAAGAACATTTAATGGACATTATGAGGTATTAAAATAGACACCCATGTACCCTGCCTTTGTAAATAACAAAGATCAGTATTACTTTGTAGGACTCCATTTAAAAATCAAGATAAAGTAAAACGGTGAGGATTTTGAGCAAGAATCGACTGACCAAGTGGTCAGCTTTACTTAGCGCTTCTTTTCTAACCAGCAGGGGGCAGCACGAATACCAACAGAAATCCTTCTTGGCTATTTGAATTTGACATTTTTTTTAGCATTTTTTTCCTTTTTGGCCAAACTTCCTTTAAAAAATTTAGCAACTACAATGTCATCATATTTACAAGCAGAGGCCAGAGAGGAAAATCTAATTTACTTGAAAGATTTACAGCTTTCAGGAAGATTCCAGAAGACAGATCCAGATGGCAAAAGGCTAGCGAGAAAAGTCTTTCCAGTGTGGGTTTGCACCCGAGGCTAGGAAAGCAGGTCAGGGTAATAGCAACAGCAGGAAAAAATAGTGCTGGTCGGTGGCATTGATGATGGCCTTCTGTGCCCAGCGAGAGCTTTCTGAGGGCTAGGAAGTGGGTTTATCTTTCCAAACAGGATAGCTGGAGGAAGAAGGAGGCACATGACATGCAGCCTGAGGAAGACCTCGCACAAGGTCATTGATGGGAGGAAGGGACGCGTTAATGAATCACAGAAAAATACGCTGTGTCAAATCCATACCAAGGGCTGGGTGAGCCTCAGGAAGGAACGTGATTGCAGTGTACCTGGAGCCGGGTTGCTGACCTGAGGACCATGTGCCTTAGATAACATCTTCAGGAGGTTTGTGCATACCCTGAATTTGTGCAGAATCTGCCTAGTGGCTCAGATGGTAAAGAATCTGTTGCAATGCAAGAGACCCAGGTTCAAAACCTGGGTTGGGAAGATTCCCTGGAGAAGGGAATGGCAACCTGCTTCAGTATTCTTGCCTGGAGAATTCTGTGGACAGAGGAGCCTGGTGGACTACAGTCCATGGGATCATAAAGAGTTGGACACGACTAGGCGACTAATGCTTACAGAAAAATAAGCACCTTTTTTTTCTGGGGGGAAAGATCTAAAGCTTTCAGGAGTATATGACCCTCAGAAAATGAGAAACAAGTAATCTGTATACATTCCCTCCATCTCTAGGATCAAAGGTATTCTCTCTTCAGAGCTGAACTCCTTCTGCCCTATTTCAGAGGCACCTCCTTCCCCACATTTGGCAGAAAACCCTGCCTGGATGGAACAACAGGGTCCCCCAGCCTAACTCCTGGGTGATGGAGGGCTTAGCAGGAGGTGTGGGTGGCTCAAGTGGCAGAGACTGAATGCTCAGGGGAAAGCTCTTCGGCACAACAGAAAGCTGGGCTGCAGCCAGGTGAATCTATCAAGGCAAAATTTCCACTTGGAGATGTACTCTCTTTTCTAAAAGTTTAATTCCTCCTGTGGGAGCCTGGCGACGCCCAAGGCTGACTAGAACTGCTGCTTGAAGAGGCTTATTGGCACAGTGGGAGCTTCATATCTGAGCCCTATGAATCTCTTTATTATATCCCATTTCTTCTGGGAAATCTTAAAAATAATTTATTTTTTTCTTTTAATTTTTTATTGACATATAGCTGATTTGCAATGTTAATTATTGCTGTATGTGCTTCATCCCTAAGTCATGTCCGACTCTGTGACCCCATGAACTGTAGCCCGCCAGGCTCCTCTGTCCATGGGGATTCTCCAGGTAAGAATACTAGAGTGGGTTTCCATGCCCTCCTCCAGGGAATCTTTCCAATCCAGGGATTGAACTCAGGTCTCCCGTATTTCAGACAGATTCTTTACCAGCTGAGTTACCCGGGATGCCCCATTGCTGTATAGCAAAATGATTGAATTATACATATATAAATATATATATATTCTTTCTTTTTTTTTTAATTTTTTTTTTCTATACCAATCCCACCCTATACTAGTTGTTTTTTTTTTTTTCCATTTATTTTTATTACTTGGAGGCTAATTACTTTACAACATTGCAGTGGTTTTTGTCATACATTGAAATGAATTAGCCATGGATTTACATGTATTCCCCATCCCGGTCCCCTCTCCCACCTCCCTCTCCGCCCTATCCCTCTGGGTCTTCCCAGTGCACCAGGCCCGAGCACTTGTCTCATGCATCCAACCTGGGCTGGTGATCTGTTTCACCCTAGATATACATGTTTCAATGCTGTTCTCTTGAAACATCCCACCCTCGCCTTCTCCCACAGAGTCCACAAGTCTGTTCTATACATCTGAGTCTCTTTTTCTTTTTTTGCATATAGGGTTATCGTTACCATCTTTCTAAATTCCATATATATGTGTTAGTATACTGTAATGGTCTTTATCTTTCTGGCTTACTTCGCTCTGTATAATGGGCTCCAGTTTCGTCCAAAGTAATCTTGAGAAAGAAGAATGGAACTGGAGGAATCAACCTGCCTGACTTCAGACTATACTACAAAGCCACAGTCATCAAGACAGTATGGTACTGGCACAAAGACAGAAATATAGATCAATGGAACAGAATAGAAAGCCCAGAGATAAATCCACGAACCTATGGTCACCTTATCTTTGACAAAGGAGGCAAGGATATACAATGGAAAAAAGACAACCTCTTTAACAAGTGGTGCTGGGAAAACTGGTCAACCACCTGTTAAAGAATGAAACTAGAACACTTTCTAACACCATACACAAAAATAAACTCAAAATGGATTAAAGATCTAAATGTAAGACCAGAAACTATAAAACTCCTAGAGGAGAACATAGGCAAAACACTCTCCGACATAAATCACAGCAGGATCCTCTATGACCCACATCCCAGAATATTAGAAACAAAAGCAAAAATAAACAAATGGGACCTAATGAAACTTAAAAGCTTTTACACAACAAAGGAAACTATAAGCAAGGTGAAAAGACAGCCCTCAGATTGGGAGAAAATAATAGCAAACGAAGCAACAGACAGAGGATTAATCTCAAAAATATACAAGCAACTCCTGCAGCTCAATTCCAGAAAAATAAATGACCCAATCAAAAAATGGGCCAAAGAACTAAACAGACATTTCTCCAAGGAAGACATACGGATGGCAAAAAAAACACATGAAATTACATTACTCATTATTAGAGAAATGCAAATCAAAACCACAATGAGGTACCATTACACGCCAGTCAGGATGGCTGCTATCCAAAAGTCTACAAGCAATAAATGCTGGAGAGGGTGTGGAGAAAAGGGAACCCTCTTACACTGTTGGTGGGAATGCAAA